TTCACCCAACCTAGAGGCAAGGATTTTTTGCGTGCAGAACTTCACATTCCCAAGGGACCTCGTGGTCTTTAATTCCTGTGTATAAAGGAGATTGTGCTAATCTCTAGTGCTTGGTTTGAGAAAAAAACTTAGGACAAGGAAAAGGACAAGGATAGTGCTTTGTCATAGGACGAGGGAAAGAGAGCTTGGAAGAGGGATGGACAGAGGGTGAGCTGCAGAGGCTGTAGAGAGTCTTGAGAGAAGTGGCTGGATTTCAGGGAGGGTGGTGGTGGTGTGTTCTCATGAACAGAGCGGAAGTTGGGGTGTGTAAGAAAGAGGAGTGTTGGGGGAAAGTGGGAGAGTAGTGGAGATCTTAGGTTTTTACCTTGAAGGTAAAGAATGTAGCAGGGAGGCCTAGCCCACAGAGAACACATGCAGTTTGTTGACAGCCTCTCAGAGGGGAGTTAGTGCAGAAGAAATTACAAATATTAGAGTCACCCTGTTTGGGGCGGGGAGGAAGGGCATGTGGAACTGGCTGGAGATGTCATAACAGTGACCATCTTACGTACTCTTCTCAGTGAACTTGGAGTTGTAGAGTCATCTTGAAGTCACATTTAGAAAGCTGAAGCACCTTGCTGGGGAGCTGTTTCAAGGGATACGAGGATTGGAATTGGCCCAGAGATGCCAGGTCCCAGCAGGGTCTGGCAGCATATGGTACACAGTGTATACAAAAACTTTATGCAGCTTTGCCTCAGTTAGTCATAAGTATGAAGAAGAAAATGCAGGGCAGGTTGGTGATGTAGTCCCACTGGCTGGACCTCAAGCCTTCTTTCTGACTGAGGGTGGAGCCAGAGCCCCTCTCAAACCATTGTGACAGTAGGGTGATTTTTTAAGTAACATACTTATCTGGGACTAAACAGCACCTCTGGGACTCTGGAATAGGGAGCTACTGTGGGCTGAGGGTGTTAGGGTAGGGCTGCCAAAGAAAGAGGTCTCCGATCTTTCTTACTTGTAGTATTAGCAGAGTACCCCTGTGAGCATCAAGACTGCCCGGGACCCTCCAAAAGTTGAACATACACCATTCTGTGTCCCCCAGATTCTGAATGCTCTAGCATTTAGGGAGATGGATATATACGTATGGATATTGGGACTGTTTTGACAGCTCTTCCTCTGGTTCTGCTCTGTGCCCCAAGCACATGGAAGCCCTGTGAAATGTATTAGTGGAGGGTCCCCAGCCACTGTGGACACTGGTCAATCCAGGTGCTGGCAGCTATAGGCACTTTGGTGTTGACTCATCTGATCTGAGAGGCAGAGTTCCTGCAGAGCAGGTTTGGTGACAGCAGCAATCATTGTCAATTCTCAAGCCCCCAAACCTGAGAAATGAACTCCTCATCCTGACAACCAGACCTGGAAGGAGGGCCCTACTTGGTCACTAGCCCTGCTTTGGCCAGCCATGTCATCTCCCTTCAGCTAGGCCCAGGGTGGCCCTCCTCAGCCAGCTCCTTCCCCTCCCCCAAACCTGCTGTCTCTGGAATGAATAATGGAGTCTGGGCAAGATGAAGGGAGTGGGGGGCAGATAGACCTAGAGCAGGCCCAGAGACAGGATGGAGACCACAGGCCTGCCTTGGATCCTCTTCACCTCTGCAGCAGCAGAGATTCCCTGTTCTAAAGGGAGGCTGATAGACCACTTCCCCTGGAGGGGGGGCTCCCTCTGTGCAAGTTGGCTTCCCCCACCCCTTGACTCCTCACCTTTCTTGCATGGTACACAGGCAGCCCTATTCTACCTTCTCTGCACCTCCCTACCTCTTGGTGGCTGCTTGGGCTGGGTGAGACAAGGCTCTGTAAGGTTCTGTGCTTTTTCCTGAGTTAAATGTGCAACGTGTCTGTGTTTCCAAAGGCCAGCCTTTGGAAACACAGAAAACAATTTAATATATCTTGGGCCCCAGTGTTTTTCTTGAAAGTTGGATTGGGAAGAACCTTGTGCCAAGGATACTAGGGAGGAAATGTGTAAATTCCATAACATAGGGCCTCTGCCTTTCCTATCAAGGCTCAAATAGAGGTTTTTAAAAAATCTTTAAAACTTATTAAGAAAGCTCGATACACGTATATACAGTATAATGTGTCTGTTTAAGTATAGAGTTCCTTGAGTCCAGACGAGCCTATGCATGTATTTGTATTTGTGGGTGACCACTGCCACCACAGTCAACATAGAGAACACTTGTGTACTCTTAAGAAATCTCTTCCCCAGCGCCCAGCACCTTTGCAACCGCAGAGGTCCAGGACTTTCTTGCTGCTTCTACTTCCTGAGCCTCAGTCTTTCCCCAGTTGAGATGGATCTACTTGTGGCTACCTCAATGCTGGGCCAGTCTTGCCCGCCACCTGTGTTCATCCTACCATTTCTAGTGTGAGCCACACAGTAGTGTCCTATTTGGAGTTGGATATACCATGAGAGCTCAGAAAGTCAGCTGATGAGACTACTGAAGCTCTTCCTGGGATGATAAAGAGGGCACCCTACAGGCTGTGGCGGCTGGAAAAAGCATTGTGCTCAGGCATAAGTTGTGTTCAGGGGCGGCAAGAATTGTGACCTAAGGGCCAGACAAATAGGTCAGCAGATTAAAGCATCTGTTTAGGCAGACGCAGGGGACGGGAGTTCCATCCCCTGGTTTGCTGTACCAGCCTTGCCCCCCCCCCAGGGGGCATGCTGAGACTGCAGTTGAGACTGGGTGTGGTGGCGCATGCCTGTAATCCCAGCTCTTGGGAGGCTGTAAACAGGTGGATGGATCACTATGAATCCAACCTAGGAGTGAGACCCTGAACACCCTGTAGACTCTTCCTTTAACTACAAAAAAAAAATTAAAATATTTTATTTATTTACTTAATTGGCACAGGGTCTAGCTATGCAGCTCAAACTCAAAGTTATCTTCCTGTTTCAGACTCCTCAATGCTGGGATTATAGGCATGCACTACCTCGCCCAGTTTTGGTGACTGGGGTTCCAGGGCTGGCACGGCACGCAGTACCAGGGATTGAACCCGGATCCTTGTACTTGCCAGACAGGTGCCTAGACCACAGAGCTATCTTTATGAAGACTTGCTTTTTCTTTTCTATTCTTTCTTTCTTTCTTTTTCTTTTTTTAAAAAATATATTTAGTACAGAGTCTCACTACACAGATTGGACTCATAGTGATCCTCATGTTTTCAGCCTCCCAAGTACTGGGATTACAGGGGCATATCACCCTGCCTGGAGATCGAATCCCAGTCCCTGTGTCTGCTGAAGCAGGCACTTTAATCCTCTGAGCTATATGGCTGGCTCTTATGAAGACTTCCAAGCCTGTAGAATAGTTTACACATATAGGCTAGTGAGTAGCCAAGAGATCTGACAGCTGATGGCATTTTGTCATACTTGCTGAACCACTTAAAATCATGGTATTTCACTACAAAATATTTCAACATGTGTCTTCTAAGACCTATGTTACCTCTCTCTACCTCATTGCATCTAAGAAAATTAATAGCAACTTTATAATACGTAGGGCACTCTGTTTACATCTCCTCTAAGGATTGCTTCAACTTTTATCTTTTCTTGTAGAGATTTAAGCATTACAATTTCTTTGTCTTTTTTATCTACACTTGTACTCTTAATGACTTTTTAAAAAGACTGAATATGAAATGTCACATCCATGTTTGTTGGATGTCGTTTATCTTATTGTCATACACCAGGCATCACTGGTGACCAGGAAATTAGGTCTGAAGGCTGCACTGGAGCAGGATGTGACTCAGGGGTAGAGCATTTGCCTAACACTAGTGAAGCCCTGGGTTTTATCTCCAGTGCTGCAGAAACAAGTAAATGAAGATTGCATTGTGCTGACCCAGCATTTAGGGCAGGAATGCCCAAGGGCTTGGACCATTTCCCACTGGTCACAGAAGTGGGAGAGGCCAACAGATGGCTCCAGAATGTTCCGTGCCTTCACAGAATACTGGGTGCAATGTGTTTTGCCTCTGTCTGAGTCACATTGTTGTTACTTTTATTAGCTGTCATTAGTTCTTGAAAAAGATAATTGGGGATGAATATAGTTCTTTTAGAAAAACATAATAAATGAATAACTTCGGGGGGTTGTTTTGTTTTTGAGAAAGATCTTACCATGTAGCTCAGGCTAGTTTTTGAACTCCTCAAACTCATGGCAGTCCTCTTGCCTCAGCCTCCTGAGTGCTGAGATTATAGGTGTGCACTGTCACACCTGACAAGTAAATTCTGTTTTCCTTTTTGTCAGAGCCTAGCACTTGAATTTTTTGCTTTTCCTCCTTTCAAATGAAAAAGGCAGCTGGCCATGCCTGCAATCCCAGCACTCTGGGAGTCTGAGACAGAAGAATTCAAAGTTTGAGGCCAGCCTAGGCAACTTAACAGGACTCTATCTCAAAATAAAATCAAAGTAAAGGGATTGGAATATGGGTGAACACTTCCTGGGTTCAAACTCCAGGACCACTGCCACAACCCAAAAGAGTGTTGGGGCTGTTTTGAACAGCTAGGATCTGTCAGAGTTCCTGTCTGTCTGTGAGTGTAGGGAAGAAGTGGAGTTCACTCCATGCCCTATGGCCTGAACATCCTGTTTACTGACCCTACCCATTAGCCACTCCTGGGGGAACAAGGTACAAGGGGCTGCTGAGCCCCTTACCTGTCATTGGCAACCAAGGGGCCATGGTTGGGAGAAATCAGTAGGTTGGGGCCATTGTGCTTTCTGCAGCAGGAGAACCTGTCAGAAGACATGACCAGCCCAGGAGATGTGGAGACCGTTTGGGGAGCTCAGTGGGCAGCTCAGAGAGGAGAGAAAGAGGCTGGACTGTAGGCAGGCTTGCCTCCCTCTCAGGGCCTTATCATACCTGTGCTCCCTCGTCTATAAAACTAGCACCAACCTGATGCAAGAAAAGATTTTCTCTGGCTCATGCACCTCTCTTACCTCCCAGGGTCAGCATACAGGAGAGGAACAAGTAAATGAGCTGCTAGGTGATGCTTCCTCTTCTCCCTGCAGGTGTGAATGACAGAGGTGGTGCCATCCAGCGCCCTCAGTGAGGTCAGCCTGCGCCTCCTCTGCCACGATGACATAGACACTGTGAAGCACCTGTGCAGCGATTGGTTCCCCATCGAGTAAGTGTTGGGCACCTGCATCCTTGGCTACGAGTGCCAGGAGGTGGGGGATGTTCAGATCTGTGTCAGGGCTGATAGAGGGCCCATCAGGTGTGTCACTGTGCAGCAGAGGCAAGGAAAGGCCTAGACACAGCATTGTGAACCTCAGGGCTCTGGAGTGCCTCGCACCTCACCTTCTTCCTCATGTGAAGTTTCCCCAAGGGATCTGCCTGGAAACTTTAGTTACAAAGATGTTCGGTGTGGCATTTTATATTCACCAGGAAATTTAGAAGCAATTCACAGATCCTAACTATAAGGAATTGTTTACATGCATTAGGGTATATACCTACAAAAATAATATTGAGCCAGGGGTGCTAGCACATATTGTGTAATCTCAGCTCTTTGGAGTCTGGGGCAGGAGGATCTCATATTCAAGGCTAGGCCTGTGATAACGTAGTGAAAACTTGTCTCAAAATAAAGTAAAAACTGGGTTGGGATACAGTTCAGTGGCAAAATGCTTGCCCAGCTGTGGGTTTAAGTCCCAGTACCACAAACAAAAACTGAAGTATTAGGGGCCGGGGAGATGGCTCAGTGGAATAAGTGCTTTCCTGGCAAGCGCAAGGGCCTGAGTTCAATCCTCGGTTCCACAAAAAAAGACAAAAAACAAAACTGAAGTACTGTTCAGCCAGAAAAGGGAAAAAAATCTTCAAAAAGGTGTATTTGTTTGTTTGTTTTTTTAAAGGTGTATTTGTTGACAGGAAAAAATTGTTATGTTTGTTTGTTGGTTGGTTGGTTGGTTTTTGAGGGTTTTTTTTTTTTTTGTGGAACTGGGGATTGAACTCAAGCCCTTGTGCTTGCCAGGCAAGCACTTATTCTACTGAGCCTTCTCCCCGGCCTCTATTATTGTTGTTTTATTTTATTTATTTTTTCCCATAATTTTATTGAGAAATAAATAGCAATGAAACAATTTCAAATCAAATTGGTAGGACAGTTCCAATAATTAACACATTGTATACTGCCTTCCTAGTGGTTATTGTTGTACAAGATACAGACATGATATCCTATTTACAAATGCTATTAGAACAAATGCCTCTATTCTCTGAATTAAGAGAATGTAGCTATATATCTATTAATCATTTTGAATACACAGATACAAAATGGTCATTCATCTATATCCCCTTTTTTTGTTTAGTTCCATCATTTAAATATTATAGGTGTGTGAACTCAGCAAAATATTCCAAAATAGTCCAGTAGTCCATAATAGTGTTGGGTCTTCCACTTGACTGGCAATGTCAGAAGTTGTTGACCTGAGTCCTCTAGAGCTCAACATAACAGCATTGTTTTATTTCTTGTACTTTGTTTTTATACTTTTCTGCTGGGTGGTTAAGACCAAGATAAAGCAAGACCTATGTAACAAGAATTGTAGCTTTTGGATGTGATAAGGTAAGTCAAATCCCTTCAGGATTTATCCTGAGTGTTGTTGTTTTAAACAGGTAGATATTAAGTGAAAAAAAAGCAAATTAGAGGGCAAGTGTGTGCCACAATGCATCTTCGTTTTTAAATATACACAGGTTAAAAGTTTTTAGAAATACGTACTATAGAAGAGAAAGGGAGGGTTCTGAATGACACGTTATACAACAGGGGACAGATTAGCAGGAGAAAAAAACTAATGAATATATTTGATCATGGTCATATTTGACACGGGAGCCTTCAAACTGGAGACCAAAGTACCCATACTGAACTCTCCATTTTCATGTGTAATTTGACAAAGCAGGGATAGTAGCGTAGACACCGTAGGACAAAAAGGCTTTTACCCAGTGCTAATAAATAGGGGTGGGGGATTCAGCCAAGTCCTGTCTGTTGAGATTCCTCTTGGCCTCTCTGATGTCTTCCTTCCTTTGGGGTGTGAGGGCAGACCCTTACTGGAATGAGTGTTAGCTCTACTATCAGGTAAGATATGTCAGAAAATTCTTTGTAGTCACCACTTAGACAGGTAGTGGTGGTTAGAGTAAGATTTCAGCTTTTATGGTTGGAAAGGACCTGTAGTTTCTGTGATCTTCCCATCTTTGGCTAGAGAAATTTTAGTTTCTATGGCTAGTCTCAGGACAATGAGGGCAAGAAATAAGAGGTTGGGAGAAAGTCAGAAAGGAACTGTTCTTCTGAGGCCTTCACTCTGGAATCATTTTCTAAGGCCATCCAGTACCTTGTAACCAAGTGCTGTCAGTGTGAAGTTGAGTAGATTATTAGTGTCCACAATTTGCTGCTTTGGCTTGTCTGTATTTCCTAACCTCATTCCATAGTATGTACATAAAGCTTTTGTAATGAGAAAAGCAGACACAAACTTTTATTTATTTATTATTTATTTGTTTTTTTGAGACAGGGTTTTGCTATTTTGTTCAAGCTGGCCTGGACTTACTAGGTAGCCCAGGCTGACATCAAACTTGTGGTGATCCTCCTGCCTCAGCCTCCTGAGTGCTGGGATTACAGGCATGCACCACCACGCCTGGCTCAGACACAAATTTTTAAAATTAAAAACGTATAAGACCTTTCCAGCCATCATTATTTATGAGCCCACATGGCTGGTATGAGGTAGGGATAAGAGTTTCTCATGCATCTCTGGGCCTGTGACTTCTAACCCTTCTGGAGATGTGGACTAATAATGGCTTTGTAATTTAAAAGTATTCTTCAAGCCAGCATTCTCACTGCCGAAATTAGCCCAGGGAAGTAGGAGTGCCAGTGAGTAGGGAAATAAGCCATGCTGTGAGCTACATGGGGCTGTGGAGAACCACGTGGGGCTGCAAGCCTTTACCCGCTGAAGCACCAGCCTGCCTACAAACCTTCATGTGCCTGAGGACTTGGGTTCCCATGATGGGGGAGTGATAATCATCACCAGTGACAGTTCCCATCTTCACCACAGGATTGGCAGGGGATTCCTGGGGCCCTGGAGTGAACCTGGGCAGTGTGCAGGGCTTGTCAAGAACCTTTTTGGTGGATGGCCAGTGGCCTTTCAGAGCTAAGCAGAGCACCTCCCCACTGCTTCAGCTCCAGCTGGGAGGTCTGTCCCCAGTTTAAAAAGCAAAACCCATAAACTTTAATCTCTCCTCATCCTGCCCAGGGCTCTGGGTTTGGCGTAGGTCTGCCGGCACAGTGTCCTGAGTCTTCCCCTCGGGTGTTCTCCCTGGTCCCCCCACAGAAGCATCGGCAGTTTCTGTGACACTGCCACCAGCACGATGCACAGACATTTTCATAGCATATGACAACTGCAGGGCCTGTGAAATTGAATACAAAGAAAGTAGGTCTTTAGTTTCACTAATCTCAAGATGAAGCACCTGGCATTTCCTTCAAGAGATCACAGCAGTGTTGGCAGTTTCTGGGAAGCTGCCACCATCACAAAACAGACATTTTCATAGCACATGACAGCCATCCAGTTCTCAGTGTGCCATTCCTGACCCTTCTCACTTCCAAATGGCCATCCTCAGTAAGCCTGCTATTTTGTAACTTAGTGTACCAGCAAAGGAGTGAACACACCTGTGTCTAAGGCCTCCACTTGAGATTAAGTAAAATCAATAGAGTCCTGGCCTTGTTGGTAACAGCCCCAGAACCCCGGGCCACACATTGCCCTGAAGATCATGTCTTCTCACCCCTGTTCAGGGAAGTGTCAAACTCAGATCCATTCACTTATAAGTGGGGATCTTTCTCATCATTTCCCCTGGTCTTCAGTCTGTAATGCTCACCACATTCTTATAGGAAATCTCCTCAGTGTTCATGGGTTGCCCAGAGCCCTAAAATTTCAGCTTGCCCTTTGTTACTTGCCCCATGGAAATGGTTTTATTGGAGTTTTTTCCCTTCTCATGTCTTAGAGCTGGTAAAATCATTTTTATATCAGAAATTCCCAGTCCTATCTGGACAAATGGCTGTTTGGAGAAGGCAGCTTTGATAGAGAGAGAGTCCATGATGGCCAGAGTAGGCTGGGGTCCCCTGTGGCTCTGTTGTCACAAGCACAATGGGCTCACCTGAATGTGTTCCCTCCCTCAGGTACCCAGACTCATGGTATCGTGATATTACATCCAACAAGAAGTTCTTCTCCCTTGCTGCCACCTATAGAGGCACCATCGTGGGAATGATAGTAGCTGAAATTAAAAGCAGGACCAAAATACATAAAGAGGTATGTCTTTGTGGTGATGACTGTGATTCACAGTTGCTGGACAGGGCTGGAAGGGGCTCAAGACAGAATTGCACCACCTGCTGCATCTTCTTCTCTAGGGAGCTGTGACCTGAGGGATGAGAGCTGTGTGTGAAACAGTGACCTGTTGGTTTCTCTTGTATGTGGCATAGGGATGTGTACACCTTTGCTGGTACACTAAGTCATAAGATCTAACAGCGGGCTTATCAAGGATGGCCATTTGGAAGTAGGAAGGGCCAGGAATGACACACTGGGAATTTCGCTATTTTGCGCTATGAGAATGTGTTTTGTGGCAGCGTCCCAGAAACTGCCAACACTGCTATGGTTTCTTGAAGGAAATGCTAGGTGCTTCAGCTTGAGATTAGTGAAACTAAAGACCTACTTTCTTTGTATCCAACTTCATGGACCCCTCCACCAGCTACCTATCTCAGGACCCTTGGAAATGTGGAACTCCTTTGGTTAGTGGGCCCAGATCTAAGTATAAACTGTAAGGCCAGGTGGTTGACATGAAGATTCTGTTGATAATTCAGTGATTGGCTGGTATTTACCACACAGTTATTTACTCCAGGAAGGGGAAAAGCCACCAACCAGTGGCAGATAATGTTTTTGTTTTGCTTTGTTATTTTTTCAAACATGCAAGAAGTGGGTCTAGGGGTGGCAGAGCACCTGCCTAACCTGTGTGAGACTCTGCGTTCCATCCTCAGCAGTGGAAAAAATCCCTCCCAAAACAAGAGGGATTTATCTCCCTTTTAAGGATCCAAGTTCACCAAAGTCTACCCTTTTATGCATATAATTATACTCTAGTTTCTTTTTCTTTTCTTTTCCTTTTTTTTTTTTTTTTAATGTGTTTTAGTACAGGGCCTTACAGGGTCTCACTACACAGATCGGTCTTGTAATGATCCTCCTGTTTTCAGCCTCCCAAGTGCTGGGCTTACAGTTGTGTGCCACCATGCCCAGCCTCATTCACCATCTCCGTGCACCCTGAGGGCAGGGCCAGCATGGCCCACTGAGGATCAAACACTGATCTCTGCGCCTGCTTTACGCAGGTGCTTTAGTCCACTGAGCTATCTGGCCAGCCCTTAGTTTCTTCTGAGAGTAACTTTTTCTAGCATAGCTTCTCTTGAACTTTCTTCCATTGTTCAGTGCTAAGACAACAGAAAAATAATAAGAGCTTATATCCTTTTAATGTTGCCTTTTATGTGGAACACTGTCTCACCTGCCTCCCACCTTCCTGTGGCTTTCCCCGAGTGTCCAGGAGATCATCCTCACAGTGCACATGACTGGATCTCTGTGCCATTCTGAAACACGTTTGTTTTTCCTTTAGACAGGCATGGAGAGCTATTTGCTTCTAAAAGAACATCTTAGGAGAGGGAGACACCACCACCACCCTGGCCCAGAACCCTGATGAGAAGCTAGGGAGGGTCAACCCTAGGGCTTTGAGTGACAAGAGTGATAAAGAAGCCTTTTCTCTGTGTTGGCTGTGTGAGGTCACAACATCATGGAGTTGCTCAGACAGGGAGCAGAGAACAGGGAGCTTATGGCCCACCTGACCCCAGGCAGAGGAGAGGCACTTGGCACACAGTGGACAGGTAGCAGAAAGACTGAGTCGCCCAGTGTCCTTTCTTTGGTCAGAGAAAACTATGCATACCACAGGTTGTTTTTGTTCTTTATGAAGACGGAGAATACAAGAACCTTGTGGTGGTTGGGCTCATGATTCTCCTTTGAAGAATTCCACGTCTGGAACAACAGAGACACATGGAATGGCGTGGGTGGTAGAGAAAGGTGGGCAGCCACTCAAAGCAATGTGTCCTTTGTGTGTGGATGAGTGTGTGTGGCACTGGAAATAGAACCCAAGGCCTTTGCACTGAGCTACATCCCAGATCTTTTTTATTTTTAGACAGGGCATCACTGGGCCAGCCAGAAAACTCAGCAAGTTAAAGCACCTGTTTAGGCAGATGCTGGGACCGGGGGTTCAATCCCCCAGCCTGCAGAGCTGGCCCCACCCCTGGAGTACACTGAGATGGTGAATGAGATTGGAGGTGGTAGTGCACACCTGTAATCCCAGCACTTGGGAGGCTGAAAAACAGGAAGGATCACTACAAGTCTGATCTGTGTAGTGAGATCCTGTAGACCCTCCTGTTCTCACCCACCCCACCCCATCCTGAGGGGCGCTCCTTCTGTGTGTGAGGGTATTCTAGGAGATTTTTACCGGCAGGGCCTAAATCTTCTTGTGTCATGTGCAGCTGGGGGACTCTGCCTTATCCTCTCTGTTCTGCCCCTCTTGCTCCCAGGTGGCCCCAGGAAGTGAGTGTATAAACCATATGTAGGTTCTGCTGTTAACCCACGTATGCTGAGAGTTGTCCTGACTTGACTTCTTAACTTTCTCTTTAGGATGGAGATATTCTAGCCTCCAACTTCTCTGTGGACACACAGGTTGCGTACATTCTAAGTCTGGGAGTAGTGAAGGAATTCAGAAAGCACGGCATAGGTAAGGGGCTACAGATTCATGGTTTGGGCACACTCCCCACCTGTGGTGGTCAGTGCCCTTGTTCCAGTGACTCCAGCTCATAAATGACTCTTGAGTGTCTTTTCTCTCTTCAGCTGCCCTCATCAGATCCCCATCCCTCTCCTCTCAATGTCTCCCCACCTCACTGACCTGTACCATCCTCTTCCCACAGGTCAGATGAGAGAACAACCCCTTTGTCCCTCCCACTCCCAGAAATGTAGCTGTGTCTGTTAGCAAGATGTTCTTGATTCAGAGCAGAAAACATAAAGATAAAGAAACAACACTTGCCTGCTTTTGTCAACTGCCTTGGCACCAAATTCCCGTCCTACTCAGAAGCCATACAGTCCTGAGCAGCAAAGTCTTAGTTTTGGGGCTGGGGAGATAGCTCAGTAGAATAAGCTCCTGCCTGGCAAGTACATGTTCCTGAGTTCAATCCCCAGTACTGAAAAAAAAAAAAAAAAAAGTACAAACAAAGTCTTAGTTTTGAGTTCAGATGCATCTAGTTTTTGTTCTCAGGGCTCCAGTTTACACTTTTGTTGTCTGAAAGGTTGTTGAGTCCCCGTTGTAAATCCAGCCCACAGAAAGGTGCTGCAGGCCACACCTGTGACCCACAGTACTCTGCAGCTCATTGCTTCCATTTGACTGAGCTTTCAGGGGCTTTGACTGTAGGAGGTGACAGGAGGCTGCTTTAGACCCAGGGCCAGCAACCTCTCGACTCCTACGGGGGTCATGGCTTCATCTTCCTTTCTAACAGTCCCACCATGTGTAACTTTTACCTCTTCTCTCAAGGTTCTCTTTTACTTGAAAGTTTAAAGGATCACATATCAACCACTGCCCAGGACCACTGCAAAGCCATCTACCTGCACGTCCTCACCACCAACAACACAGCGATAAATTTCTATGAAAACAGAGACTTTAGGCAGCATCATTATCTGCCTTATTACTACTCCATCCGAGGGGTCCTCAAAGATGGCTTCACTTATGTCCTCTACATCAATGGTGGCCACCCTCCCTGGACTATCTTATATCCTTTACTGTTGGTAGAAAGAACACATGGCTTCTTGGCTGGAGGGCTGGCAGAGGCAGTGAGTGAGCTGGAGCTGTAGTCACCTTCAGGTGATGGTCAGGTGACTGGCTTTTACTGTGGGCAGATTGGGTACAAACAGTCTGATCACTCAAGATAGGAAAATAGATACTGACCTACAGCCAGTGTTCCCCATCTTCAGCCTGGCAGGAGTGATGGAGTTTAACTCTTGGCCTGAGAGCCATCTATCCACTTAAGTATTGATAGAGAGCCTCTGATTCTAGGTATGTTCCTCAACAGGGTCCAGAACTTCCCTGTGTAGGAAGGAGGCCAGGAGACATAGCAGTCATAGTGTGGTCCAGAAGTGCTGGGCAGGAGTACATGTGGGTTTTCAAGTGAATGAGTGTGGGATTCACTCATTCAGAGGGAGCGAAGAGAAAGATGCATGGTGACCTCAAGGCCTGTAGGCCTCCTGGATCACATGAAGTCAGTTCTTTGTGGGTATCCATACATCCAGGGGTCAGCACTGTTGAAGTGCCCCTCACAGGGCCAGGACTCTGTCCTTTTGGAAGCACTGAGGGTTGAGACTGGGGGAAAACCAGGAACACTTAGTTATCTTCTACCTGGCCCCTGTCCCCCTCCCTGTGTGTCGCCTCATTGTGGGTGTCCTGATGGCTCATCTGAAGCTTCACCAAGAAAATGCTCTTGTTCTCAAGTTCTGCCCCTGTTATCTAATAAACCTTTCCAGTGCTCTGCAGAGCTTGGTGGGGTTCTTGAATGCCCTTGAGTCCTGTGTGCCATCTGTACACCATGCTGTGTGGACCATAGAGGGGACCACAGAGGATAGTACACATAGGCAGTTCAGCCTGGAACATCAGTCTTCCTTGACGAAACCCACAGACTACATCCAGCACCTGGGCTCAGCACTTGCCAACCTGAGCCCCTGCTCCATCCCGCACAGGATCTACCGCCAAGCCCACAGCCTGCTCTGCAGCTTCCTACCATGGTCAGGAATCTCTACCAAGGGTGGCATTGAGTACAGTCGTACCATGTGATGCCAGCGGGGCAGTCTCTGCCAGGCCCCCCATCTTTCCACCCTGCAGAGCCCACGTTCTTGTCCACTGACTTCTGCTGCTCTCTGCAAGGAGCTGGCAGCCACTTGCCAGCCTGTTGGCCTGCCTGCCCTAGCTGCAGGCCTGGTGCTACGTGGGCTCAGGAGCAGTGTGCATCCAGTCTTCAACAGGAGTGGCCTCTGCCCCTCCAAGAGAGACTGGCAAGTGGTGGGTAGAGGGGGCATGGCTCTCCACATTAATACGGGGCTCCAGGGCTTAGCCTATGGGACAGGCAGTTAGACGGTGGGACAGTGGGCATTGCCATCAACAAACACAGATGTCTGTAGGCAGGCACCTGTGAGTACTCCCCAACTGACTCAGAAACTTTGTAGAGAAGAACAGGATACCAGATATCTTGAGCCCCTGGTCAAAACTTTTTACTTCCTGAATTGCTTTTTTTTGGTTAGACAGTACAATTACATGATTGAAGAAACAAGTCCTTCCTACCTGTATCCCCCACTTACTCAGTTTCCCATTGTCACAGGTACCTAGTGACTTGTCATAATTTTCTCTTTGTTGAAACAAAATACCCAATACTCAAAGGAGAAAATTTATTTTCCCTTACAGCTTATAGAGATATACCCTTAGGTGGCTGGCTCCAAAGCAGGGTGGCATGGCAGGGGCATTGTAGAGTAGGCAGGAGGCAGCAGCAGACAAGCAACAAAACAACAGAAGCAGCAGCTACATTGTTTCCCTTATATTCCATATAGGCTACCTACTCTTGGGGGCGGGGGGCAGCACTTATCCCTAGAGTCAAGTACCAGCATCACACACCCTAGATCCAGCCACTTCCAGAAGTCCCCACCTATGACCTTGTGAGGCTTTGGGAGTACATCTTGATAGAAACCATAACATTTGTGTCATTGGTCTATTTCTGGAAATTCCACACATACCGAAGTCCTCTGTGGGCTTGGCTCTGGTAGACACCTTGGAGGTGAAACTTCTGCCAAGGGGTAGCCACTCTGGTATGTGTAAGTGCCTCTGGGAGTTAGTCTTTCCCAGGTCCAAAGGACACCAGAGCTGGAAGGGACATAGGGTCTCCAGAGACCAGCCCCTTGTGTAGGACTTAGTGAGAGCCATGCTCTCACTACCTGGGTTGTACAATCAAGGGTTGAGCTCTCAGTGCTTTTAATTGTGTCAGGACTGAGAGGAGCCTGGGACCAGGGGCACAAATTATGGGCCTGGAGGAGAGATCATGTTCTGGCGGTGCCCTGGTGTACCTGCATCCCATAGGCTAAGCAGGGAGTGGGTGAGTGTTCCCTAGTGCCTTCACCCTAACCTGTTCTCTCTCTTCCAGGCTCCTTGTCTCTACTCCTTGCTTCTGGAAACTTCTGCTTCCACCTAGTGCCCTGGTCCTGCCTCCATGCACTTGCACTGGACCTCTCCCATTGCACTGCCCCCCTGTCAACTCCTTCCTGCAAAGCCAGAATGGACTTTCCGCTGCAAAGGAAACACTGTGTGGACACCATTGAGCCTGAAGACATAGGAACCTCAGAACAATAGAAGGGAATGCCAGGCCTTTTGTTGAGGACCAGCCTGAAGAAGCCTCCATGAGGCTGGCAGGGAGCAGGCAGAGGAGGCATAGCTCATGTGAGGGCACAGCTCCAGGGCTTAGCCTCTGGCACGGACAGACCGTGGGACAGTTTTCTGCTTCTCATTGACCAGCCTCCTGCTGTGCATTTGCCACTTAGGGGAAATCATCCTGCTGTTGGCTCATGGCATGCTCCATGCAAGCTGCCCTGCAATGAGAGCTAAGCTACAGACAGGTAGTGGTAAGGCTCCTGGAGCCCTGCCTTCCTGACCTCTATGAGCTGAAACTCCAAGCCTGGCCAGGTACAAGAGGTCAAGCCCCACACTGGGCAGCCCTGCTGCCATGGGCAAGTATGGCCTGGCCTTAGGGGCAAGAGACAGTCTGTGCTTGCAGCCCCTCAGCCTCCTAGAGCAAAGGCTGTGTTAACCTCATAAATCATGCTTGCAGTGTGCATATGTCACACGCTTCTGGCATCCCTCACCCTGGACCCTAGGCACTTGTTGCCGTGTCCTGCCTGGTACTGCTGCACTGTCATAGGAGCCAGGGCAGAATGTCCTTGCAGTCCCTCCTTGTTCAGCCTAAAGAAGAGAGGAACAGCCCTGGAGATGGGGCCTTGGTGGCTGAGTACTTTCTTCCAGGACCAGGGCTTGCTGCAGCCTCAAAGGGTCCTCGTGATGCAGGCAGGCCCCATGCAGGAGAAGTCCCACTCAGCAGTGTTAGCCAGCAGGTGGCCCAGGTTGTGATGACTAGCACGGCTGTATGCTGAAGCCCCAAATCTGAGCCCTCTCCTCTGGATCAACAGTAATCATGTGATTTTTAATTTCTTACCCATGTGGTCAGGGGAGTCTTGTAAAGGCTCCCCCTTGGACATTTGTAATCTAGCTCAGAGGCCTTGCCCTGCCTTACCCTCCCTCCTGCCCTCTAATCATGGCAGTGTCCAGCCCAGTGTTGAATAGATTGTAGTGTTTTGTCTCATTATAAATAAATAAGACTGTAACTGGTCTCATCCTGTCTCCAGCACCTAGTGTACTGTGCTGGGCTATGACTGAGAGCCCAAGAGAGCTGCCGCTTGCTGGTACCCCAGAAATGGCTTCTGACAGCAGGGGGGACTGCTCTGTATCACCCCTGCTGAGTGAGAACTAGGAAAGGGCCTCTAGAGCACAAAGCCAGAAGTGGCTGACCCTAGTGGGTCAGGTTAGCTCTCTGGCTCTTGAATTCGAGCTGAGACCTGGTATAGATGGGCTGTGTTCTAGCTTTAAGAAGATTCCAGCGGCAGTTCAGCTTCATGGTCACCAAGGGCCCTGGGCCAGCCAGCCAGAGGCTGGGCGTTTGGTGTAACTGCCAGAGGCACTTACACATACCAGAGTGGCTATTCCTTGGCAGAAGTTTCACCTCCAAGTATCTACCTTGGCGGTAGATCCTGCGCGGGATGGAGCAGGGGCTCAGGTTGGCAAGTGCTGGAGGTTGACTTCCTCCAACCTCCCATGGAAACCTGGCCACCCCTACATTGTTTCCCTTGTTTGTATCCACAAGTAGACAGGTAGAAACTGACTTGGGCTGGGAATTACCGAGAGCTACAGTTTGTGGCAAGACCACCTACAAAGCCTACATGTGCTGCTTTGCTATTTGTGTCCCCAGTGCCCAGTACTAGCTAGGGAAGGCAGAAGCCCTAGCTGAGATTATCTCACTGTCACCTACTATTTCTAGCCCCAACTTAGTCTCAAGAGTGGCTGGACTTTAGTCCTACTCTAGAAACAGAGCCCAGGAACCAGGAAGTATTTTCCAAATATTGATAATCTCTGACTTGGGGCCATGACCCAGGTGGTGGGACTATGTGGCTTGTATGGCACTGTGGACTGTGGTATCTGGGACAAATGCCCAGTCAGGGCTGCTGCTCACCTCCTGAACATTTTAGAGAATGGCTTAGTCTCCATACCTGAGTGGGAACCGCATCAGGCAGGACTCCCATGAAAAAAGTAGCTCTTCTCTATTGTCATCACAGATCGTGGGCCAAGCTGGCTGCATCTTGTCCTTGCTATGGACAGTAACATCTCCAACCATGCACCAGAAACAGTGCCAGAGTTGGAGGGTAGCTTATTCTCTACTTTACCTGCTTGGTGTCTGCCACTTCAGGTGGCCACACTCTGATTGCCGTGGTGTGTACCTTGGTGCTATCCATGGATGCTGCTGTGAGGACAGGTGTCCCTGTGCCTAGGCAGGGTTGCACTGAGCAGCTCTGCCCAAGGTAGCTGTGGTACCTTAGCCACCCTGCTTTGGTGAGAGGCCACAGGGTGACATCATGGTGCCTGCTGCTCCTGGCCTTTCCAAACTGCACAACCACAGAGCTGGGCCAGCAAACTTGGAGCCCAATTCAGGCAAAAAGGAAGTACAGTCCTTAGGGAGAAGCAGAACCACACATGGCTTCCCCAGAACAGAGGAAGAGGCCAGCCTAAAGGAAGCCTGCTCTGCCCCAGGCTGGAGAGGACTTACTAAGAGCCCTCGATGACTATACCCTTACCAGGAGGCCTAGTCTTTGTCCCTGTGCACCCTACTTAGGCAACCTTCATGGTCCAACCTGGAGGTCACTGTAGCAGCCCCTTCAAGCCCTCATACTTCTAGCATGGTCTCCCCACAGGCAAGGATTCCAGCTAAACGTCCAGCCCCCCACTGGTGCTTAGGGAATCATAGACAAGGATGTTCTAAGACAGATCCGTGAGTAACTGGGAGCCCCTGGAGTGTTTCACAGACTCATTCCCAGCATGCCATGACAGTTACTTTTCTACTAAGCCTATTTGTAGTGCTTTTCAAGAAAGCTTGTGCAGCTTTGGAAAGAAATTGCCTAGAGGGCAGTTTACTCTGGGACCAGCATGTAGTTGCCGCAAGTGGCTTTTCTGGGGGAGCAAACCTAGACCATGGCTTCAGGAGAACCCAAACTCAGCAGTCTAAAGCAGCAGCTAACCAGTGTCATTACAATTCTGCAGTCAGAAAGGGCTGGAGCTGCCCAGGGTGGACTATTTCTTCCTGGGCTAGGTGGGATTTCTATGGTAGGGTCCTCAGAATGACTGACTTCTCATGTGCCCACTGACCTCTTCCCATAGCAACTTTGGAAACCTCCAGGCCTCTGTACCACATGAAAGTGATACCATGTCCTCTCTGCCACATTTTACTGGCAAAGACAGAGGCTGCATAAAGATAAGAATATAGGGCCATATGTAACTCACCTGGGGACGCCTAAGTGGCCATTGACTGACCATGGCCTGGATTCCCAAGGTCTGGACTCTGGAGCAGTCTGCTGTTAAGTGGAGGGGGGATCAGGTCCCCTGGGTTTCCAGAGACCTTGTATTTTTGGCTTCTGGTATGTATCATTCCTGACCAGTGGCCCTGGCAGCAGCCCCACCCAGGCCTCCATGAGTGACAGGTAGCCAACCCAGCCTGTGTCTCCTCAACAGCTCTCTGTTGTATCTTGGGTGATCGGCCCAGGTTCATCTGCCTCCAGGTCCAAGGGAATGAGTATTGTGGGAGAGCACAGAAGCAGCTGCCCTTTCTCAGGTATTAGAACTCACTAGGTAGGGGTTGGGGAGATGGCTCAGTGGAATAAGTGCTTCCCTGGCAAGAGCAAGGGCCTGAGTCAATTACCAGTTCCTCAAAAAAATAAAAAAAACCTCACTAGGTGTGCCTGGCAAGTTCAAGGTCCCAAATTCAATCCCCAGTACTGTGGGAAAAAAAAAAAAAAATCTTACTAGATGGACCATTGGCCAATTATGTCCCTCCCACACCTACTCAGTTTCCAAAACCCTGTTTTCGCTGTTCTTCCTTCTGAGGTCACAGTCTCCTTCAACTTCAGGTTGAACCAAGCCCTCTCTGGATTCTGTGCAGGGATCAGATAACATTTCTCGGTGGTTTTCCTGGTACCCTAGGCCTGGGGTGAAAGGCCTGCTTTTAGGCCTGCGTTAGGCTTGTGACTGTCATGCACCCCAGACTAAGTGCCCTAGAGTTGACTTGTCTGACTGGACTGGGTTAAAGACAGTTGGACAAGAAGGTGCAGGCCTTGATTTTTTTAATGTGATTAGACCTGAAGGCTTCCCAGCCTCTCAGGAACCTGATTCTGCACTTGGCCTCGCCTCCCTGGTACAAGGGACTGACTGGATTTGGGGCAGGCTGCAAGGACAGGGCCATGCTTCCATTTCTTCCATTCCTCCCTCAGGACTTGTCCCTCTCTGCTCTTTTTTGAGGCTGGCCCAGGTCTGGAGCTGGGCAGCTGCAGAGGGCAGGGGCCATCCAATGGGGAGGGTTACTGCTGGGGCTGAGTCCTTCCTCTGTGGATGTGCTGCCACCTCCTCCTCAGCCATCCTTGCCCCACTGTCTTCAGCCCTGGCACTGGGATCCCTATGACCTCTCCAAGGCTCCAGAGCGGGTTCTCTTACACAAGGGACACATGGCCTCCTCCAGGGTCCTCCAGGACCTCTTGGGTCGGAACCCCAAGCCCTCATGAGACTCAGGCTGGGAGGCAGAACCCTTTGCTGGGTTCATGCTGGAACTGGAAGCTGAGAAAAGAGGAAAGGGAAGAGTCAGACTCAAAGGGAAGCTGGCATCCCACTCTGGGGTCCCCAGAACTGGCCATGCTTCAAAACAGAAGACTGGGTAGCATTTCTTTGAAAGAACTGGTGGGACAGGAGAGGGAGGTGAATGATTCAAGCTGGCAGGACTAATCTATCCTGAACCCCTCAAATGGAGAAACAAGTCTAGCAAGGAGAGAGTTGCCCAAAGCCCCTTCTCCAATACAGAGCCAAGGGCAGGAACTCTGAACTCGAGCTCCTCTCTGCCTGACGCATTCTGCCCCTTGGGCACTAGCCTTGTCTGTACACTACTACCACCAAGACCTAATGGGCCTGGGGACTTTGCACATCTGTGGTTTCAGCCTAATGGGCACAGGGGATGGGGACAGACTGATAAAAGATCTTGGCCCCTTGTACATGACATCATGTTTTGGAGGCAGGGGCCCTGGCTATGTGTCCCTTCCTAGTCCCTGGAGAAGGCTGAGGAATGGACAAGGGCCTTCTGGGTCCTCTGTGGTCTTCCCCTCCATCCCCCAGTCCTACCTCAACAGCTCACCTGTATTTCCCAGGCTGTCCCTGGGCAGTTGGGCTTCCAGAAAGGCTGAGCAGGGGCTGTTACCTGGACCCAGAGTCCCGTATGGTAGGTCCAGGGACCAAGCTGTGTCCTCAGGCTGTGGCAGGCAGTCTCCCACCAGGAGCTGACTCTGCAAGGGGCTCTCAGCCTGCCCCGTGGGCTGCATGTGGCCTGGCAGGTAGAGAGCCAGGCTCCGAAGGTGGCGCAACCGGAAGTTCTTGGGCTTGCTTCCCTGGACACCGAGGCACTGCTCCTGCTGGGTCCCCAGCCCCCCCTCGTAGATGTTGGGTGGTATGTTGGGGTGGCTGGGATGTCCTCCAGCCCAGCTCACTGCATCTGCAGGGGGAAAAGTAGGAAGGTAGCAGCCAGCCAGCCTAGTGTTCATGAGAGGAGAAAGCAGATTCCTGCCTCTGAGACCAGCTTCTGTAGTGGGCTTTATCACCCTACCCAGCCTCAGCTTATTTGTCTGTAAAATGGGCTTGATTTCCTGCCTCTGCCCTACTCCCACCCTCTTTACTCTACCAACCAACAGGGACACCTAAGAGGTCTAGAATAAACACTGAGATGCCTTTTAGTACTTCAAGCCTCTTGTGTCAAGCCCCTTGGTGCCCCTGACCCTAGAAAGAATATCCAAGTAAAGGGATAGAAGTTGCACAGTGGGCACCAAAGGATGTGACCAGCCCAGGGTCATAGGACCTGGATCAGTGGCCATTCCCTTCTTCCAACCCATGCATGTCCCTGAAGACCACCCAGTGGGTTTGGGCCCATGCTGGGAAAGGAGGGCATTTCTTCTGCCACTCTTTCCTGTGGCCTGGCACCTTCTCTTATGTGCAGCTCAGAGAACGCACAGACCAAGGCTTCCATGGAGGGCCAGTGTGCTGGGGGAGGAGTGGCCAGGCCTTGTGTGCTGTGCGGCCTTTCTCTCCCCTGCCTAGGGGTGGGACTAGAGGGCTCCTATGGCAACTGCCTCTTATGATGTCACAGGGAAGACAGCCTTTCTAGATCTTTCTAGGCAGACTTCTAGAGTTTGGGGAAGGATGATGTTCAGGACATAAATGTGGGCAGGAGGAGGGCGAGGAAATGGGCTAAAACCTCAGAAGAAATTCCTGGTTCCTTTGGCTCGGGACAAACTCCGTAAGACAAAGTCAACTCTGGCAAGCTGGAGGGTCACTTTCTATGATGACATCTTGGCATCTTAGTCTCTTCCTGTGTGGGTTGGAAATGAGGGTTTGGGATAAAGACCTGGTAAGGCTTTTAAGCAATATGCTAGGTTCCTCTAAATAAGCAGAATTAACAAGGTGTACAAAAATGCTTTCAAAAAGATTTTTTTTTATTAAGGGAATTAGCTCACATGATTATGGAGGTCAACAAATTCCACAACACACTGCCTGTGACCTGGAAAATTACAAAAGCCAATGTTGTAATTAAATCCAAGTCTGAAGACCTCAGAACTGGGGTGGTAATAGGGGTAGAGCTGATGTAGGTGCAAAGACCTGAGAACCGGGAGCTCCAATGTCTAAGGGCAGAGGATGGGTGGATCTCCCAAGTTTAAGAAACTCTTTTCCCACAATGTATCTTCATTATCTTCATTTTTAACTGGACCTTTGATGTTTTGGCTGACACCCACCAGCTTTATTCAGGGTACCAATTTAAATGCTAATTTCATCTCCAACCATTATCCCAGGTACACACAGAAATGTTTTGCTAGCCATCTGGGGATCCCTAAGCACAATCAAGTTGACATATAAAATTAACCGTTATAGGCAAAAATTTTAAAACTGATCCTGGGGCCAGGGAGATGGCTCAGTAGAATAAGCGCTTTTCTGGCAAGTACAAGGGCCTGAGTTCAATCCCCAATTCAAAACAAACAAACAAACAAACAAACAAAAAACCTGATACTAAAATTCATGTGGAATTACAAGGGAGTCCAACTAACTACAGCATTCTTGTTTTGTGGTCCTGGGGACTAAACCCATGGCCTTGTACATGTTAGGCAAGTGCTATACCACTGAGCTATATCTTCTACCTTTTTATTTTTTATTTTTTTGAGAGGGTATGTTTGAGACAGGTTTTTACTGTGTAGTTTAAGCTGACCTCAAACTCTCAATGAGCCTGCCTTAGCCTTTCAAATAGCTATAACTACAGGTGTGTACCCCCATCCTACCCCAAACAGCATTCTTTTTTTTTTTTGTCCTTTTCTTCTCTCCCACCCTGGACTTCCCACCCTACTTTTCTTTTTGTTTTTTGAGCTAGGGACTTGCTATGCATTTTAGGCTGGCCTTGAACTCTCTATGTAGCCCAGGCTGGCTATCTTCCTTCCTCGTCCAAAGTGCTAGGATTATACATGTGAAGAATATTCATATTCTTCATAAAGGAAACGAAGATTCAAGACTTACATGTACTGATTTCAAAACTTGCTACAGGGGCTGGTGAGATGGCTTAGTGATCTAAAGCACCTACTTAGAACAAGCTAAGCTAAGCAAAGCACAGGGACCGCGGTTCAATCCCTCAGCACCACATGCCAGCCAGCCCCGCCCTGTGGTGGGCTGAGCTGGCCACACACACAATAAATAAATAAATAAATAAATAAACAAACAAATAAATAAAATTTTAAAAAAACTTGCTACAAAGTTAACGTTAAAACAATGTAGAACTGGTATAAGGATCGATGCCTAGATCAATGGAACAGAATTGAGAGTTATAGTGATAATCAAATAATTCTGACAAGAATGCCAAGACCTAAAAAAAAAAAAAAAAAAGAATGCCAAGACCTTTTGTAAGTATCCTAAGTTTTTTGTCTATTTTAAAATTGTATTGTCTTTGTATTAAGAACTCTATAGGGGCTGGAGAAATAGCTCAGTGGTCTAAAGCACCTGCTTAGACAAGCTTAGGTAAAGCACAGGGACCACGGTTCAATTCCCAGCACCACATGCTGCGGAATCCCTCCCCCAGAGTGGGCTGAGCTGGCCACAAAAATAAATAAATTAAATTTAAATTTAAATTAAAAAAAGAACTCTATAGATTCTAGATATAAGGTTTTTTAAGAAAAATATGTATTTTGAAATTAATTTCTTCCAGGCTGTGACTTAACTTTTTTTCTTAAATGTTGTTAAATAAAGTTTATGGAGGGCCAGCCAGATAGCTCAGCAGACTAATGTGCCTGATTAGGCAGAGCACAGTGGCCAGGGTTCAATCTCTGGTGTGCCGTGCCAGCCCTGCCCCTGGAGTGCACTAAGACAGCGATTGAGACTGAGTGTGGTGGCGCGCACCTGTAATGCCACCACTTGGGAGACGAAAAACAGGAAGATCACTATGAGTTCGATCTATGAAGTGAAACCCTGTAGACCCTGTAGACCCTTAAAATGAAAAAAAAAACAACCACTTTAAAATTTATTGGAAGCTATGTTGACAGACCAGACCAAACTAGAATGAATCCACTCTTGGTAGGGGCCACATAATCCATCAAAATGAAATTAGAAAGGAGCCAGTTTTACAAAAAATAAGATTTGTACCAACCACTTCTAAGGCCAGTCACCATGAGCCAACTTGATAAGGAAGTTCCCTCTGCGTTAACCCATGCAAGGAAAGCAACCTGGCATGAAGCCTCGGTTTTGGTGTTTCTTTGTCCTTGCTCAAGCTACATTAAAAGCCCAGCCATTCTACCATCCCGGCTGGAGCACCTTCCAGTTTCACAGATGGAATGCTGCTCATCATGAAGCCATAAGAAATGCAAATTTCATCACTAAACGCTATTGAATTTCTTCAACAGTTGCTTTTGGGGAAAAAAAAAAAAGCTCCTTTTAAAAAGCAGGAGTCTTGTGATGAAGTCCAGTTTATCCCCAAAGAGCTTTTAAGTTAGATACCAAGCTTTTGATGTATCTAAGAAATGTTACCTAACCCAGTCAAAAAGGTTTCTTGTAAACTGGTTTGTGAACTTTTTTTGTGTGTGTGAACGACTTTTAATTTTTGTATGTACTGCCAGATTAAGAAGTCAGTTCATTAATTTGGATTAATTAATCCTAATCCAAATTAATTCATTAATATGGATTTTCAGTTCCAAAAACATTTGATGGGGGTTGGGGAGATAGCTTGGCGGTCTAAGCACCTGACTGGCAAGTTCAAGGACCTGGGTCCGACTCCCAGTGCTGCATGCCGTGCTGTTCCTGGAACCCCTGGTGTGCTTGCTGGCCACCAAAACTTGGCATGGTGGTGCACACCTGTAATCCCAGTGCAGGGGAGGCTGAGACAGGAGGATCACTACGAGTTCAAATTGTGGAGCGAGACCCAGTACCAAATAAATAAATGATTTTTTAAAATCATAGAGGGAAAAGAATTTAGTCTTTCACCACTAAATGTGACTATATATATATTTATTTTTTTTTGAATGAATATTCTTTCCCCATTCAAGAGTCTTTTTGGTATGTGGCTCTATTTCGGGACTCCCTTTAAATTATATACATTAAGTCCTTAAGTGTCTAATACGTGGCCAATACCATGATGCTTGGCGAAAGGCATCACTAGACCCTGCACCTCCCCATGCACCCTGCCCTTTGTGCCTAGTTTTCCCGTGCCCAGAAGGGTACCTGCAGAGCCAGGGCAGACTCACCCACATGCTGGGGGCGGCCCTGGAGCCCTAGAGCACCCCGCCCAGGCCTACTTCCAGTCTGCCCCAGCAGAAGAGGCCACAGGCGCCAAGGCAATTGCAGAAGAGCAAAGCTCTGGACCGTTTTTTGGCCTGTCGTGAGGTCTAAACGGTTTGCCCAAGGGTGAGATCACAACAGGGCACATGTCTCTCGGGGCTTGTGGTCAGCCTAGGCCGGGCGTCCTGCGGCCTTCCACATGGCGCATAGGCTTCGGTAGCTTAGAGCACAGGGCCTCCCATTTCACACATGGCAGGGAGAACGTGTGGTGTGCACAGGACTCGTAAGAGGGATCTGGCTTCATGGAGTGAAAAAATGAGAAGCAGTGTAAGAAATGCTTAACACATTGTGAAGCACACAGTAGGCACTCAGGCTGTGTCAGTGTCAACTGCCCAACAAACTGCCAAAAGTGGCTTTGAGACTCTTTAACACTGGCAGGCCCCGGAGGGCAACTTCCGCTGCTCTAGGTGCCTACGAGGCGCCCTCTGCCGGTCATTTTTATTTGTGCGCGTGCACGCCCTGGGTTTTTTTTTTTTTTTTTCGCGTCCTATCTTATTTGACCCTGACGGTGCGCCGTCCAGAGCTCCGCGTGTTGCCATAGAAACCAGCCAGCTCTCGGCTGGCGGACCCGGAGCTGCTGTCTGCTGTGACCCTGGTTCGTGAGGGCCGGTGCGCCATGTCTTTCCGCGACCTCCGAAGTAAGACACCCAATCTCCCTTGCCTGCGTGTAGTGTAGAGACTCAGGGTTCCACTAGGGCCCTCTGAGTGCCCTGAGCCTCCGGCCGGGCCCCAGTGCTGTAAGAGCACTTCGTGAACATGGACTGGTCTGTACCTGACCGCAGGTGGCCAGAGAACCCTGACGGTGCGGCTGCTGCGGCTGTTTAATTTTGCATAATTTTAACTGACTGCCATCTGGGGGTGTTCCTTGGCCCGTCGGAAAGTGCGTGGAAAATACTGAGTTGGTTTTGTTTAGAGCTTTGCGGAGGGGGCTGGATGCTGGTGAAAACTGTAGCTAACTTTTTTTAAATTTTGCGTTCTACCTTGTCCTGTTCTGTGTATACGCATTACTTCGTTTAATCCTCTCATCAGTTATATTCCCCTGTGCTTACAAATCAGAATTTGACATGCAGTATCTTATTTTAGATCTTTAACAGCGAGGTAGGTTTTATTCCTGGATGAAATACTCGAAGGCACAGAGCAAGTAAAGTGTGCTTTAGGTCACACAGCTAGAACAGGGTGAAGCGGAGGGGTGATTCAAAGCCGCTGACTAAAAATGTCACGCCACGTATACTGTGCTACTTCGTAAGGTGATTGTCAACCTGGTGCGGTCGCAGGGGCCTCTTTAAGGTCATTTTTCTCAGCAAGTTGATGATACCTCAGCATTAAACAGAATACTCTTTCTACGCTATAAAGATCCAGTTTATTGAAACAGCTATTAGCATCATAAAATAAATCAAGTCCTCTGGGACTTGAGGGCCCTTGGTGACCTGCCTTGTAAAGACAGGTGTCTTTCGTGGTTTTAGCAAGGCCAGCACTTTGCTAGGGATTGGTGAATAGAATGGTGCTGGGAAGAGGTCCTCAATGAGAACTTCTTTTTTCCATTTTTTTTTCTTTTTCTTTCTTTTTTATTTTA